AGGAAGATTGTGGGCGTGGAGAAGTTTTCCCGGCGGTGGTCATGGCAACTATGGTAATAATGGCCTCAGAGTGGAAAAGGATCATGGGTTTGCCCGGGGCGCTAGCCAGAAGTGTCGTACTGGGGAGGTGGCTTTAGGATCCTAAACGGGCCTAGTCCTTGGGCTTAAGCCCAATGGGCTAACCGGGTATAAACCCGGAACAATGATGGGATTTATATTTCATAAGTTCAGGCATTTATAAGGCCAACCTACCTCAGACATTATAACCCAGGGAATTGCTCCCATGCCCAGCGAGAAAGATCCTGTATATACCTGGTCATTACCAAAATCAAAAACTTAATTAGGTAATTTAGTATGGTTAATGTGCCATTTTGGTCCTTCAATAATTTTTACTACAATCAAATTAGTCAAAAAAAATTTTAATTAAAAAAATTAGGTCCCTAGTCACTTTGCAGTTGGATTACTAGCAAAAGTTTGTAACAATCATTACCAGTACACCAACGAGCGCCAGAATGGGACTGACTTCCTTCCATTTATGTAGGTCCTGCATATGGCAAGCGAAATTATCTATTTATTTAGAAATAACTAATTTGAAAAACAACATAATAGAGCAGATTGTGTAATTCAAAGAACCTGCAAGAAGAATGATAGGGCTGCAAGGAAGCATCCTAAGCATGTTCCTGATGCAGAGACCTGTATAAAAGTAAAACATTTTGGATTTAGAATTCACTGAACAGCATAAGAAAGAAGAAACAAAAACTTAACCTTTTTACCAGTAAAAGTGGTCGTCTTCCAGATTGATCCATCAAAAATACTCCCAAAGTTGTCATTGGGATCTATAAAGACAGAAATGACCAAATAGTGTGAAGAGACTCAAGAATGAAGAGAAGATCCATCGAAAATGGCATTTTTCTCATCTTGCGTAGCATTTAAGAAGACAGAAATTAATAAAATTGTATGAAGAGAATTAAGAACCTGAACAGCAACCATTGCTGTTGTTCCAATACTTCCCGAAAAACCTGTGATGGATAAGAATTTTTGCTTCATAATCGTGTTATAAATCTAATACTCCCATAATCATCTTCTTTACGTACGTGTCATATTATGATAGAAGCATTAAAAAAACCTGCACGTACCAGCAGAGATAAATATCGAACTTGCATAAAAAGCGATGCCATTAACCCCTCCAAACTGTTGTAGTATCATCAAGCCAACTCCTACCTAACAAAGTAACTAAATACCATAAAGAGTCTGCAAAAGGTTAAGAAAGTTTGCATCTTAGAAAGCTCACGGTAAGTGACTTCAAATACTGCAATTGAAATAAGCCAATAATGCTAGCTTCTTTTTGCTGCTGAAGGGCTTCTGTATAATCCTACCAAAAAAAGTACAATGTATAAAATAATATGTCAGTCTCTTTGATTCTTTCCTCCCCCCACCCTTTGTTTTGCTTCCTAGTTAGATAGTAAACCATAAAATTAACACTGTAATGAACAAACACTTAAATATATACTCTAATTTCAGTGGCCTCTTGAGAAACATCAGCATTCTTTCCCCTAAGGCGCTGTAAAGCAGATTCACTCCTTTCCAAGCGACCAACCTTTACCTGCAGAAGCTTGCAACTATCACTTTCTCGTGATGTGTTGGTTTAATGACATGTGTTGAATCCGATTATTTGAGGAAAGTGGTGAAAAATTTGTTTTGCTCGTGTGAATTGTGTCCAACACAAATAGCCCAAACATAAAACCTACAGCAGTCATGAACAACTCACCAGCCACCTAGGAGACTCAGGAATGAAGGGCAGACTCAGAAACTGTACAATACACGGAATAATTCCTGAGACAAAGACATAAAAGATGTGCCTCACATAGAACCTTCTTTTTAATTTCATTTTGTGAAAAGAACACCAGAAAGAAGAACTTTACCTATTACAGCCAAAATCCGCCAATTCAAGTATGCTCCAATAAGCCAAGTTAATGATACCCCACAACAAATCATTAACTGTCAAAATAAGACCAAGCAGGGATTTAAGATAAGCCTATACAGGAAGCATGTGAATATACACGGTACGCACAGACTACTAAGGATAAGGATGTGGATATATAGGTCTTTTATAGAGTGATGAAAGGTATACAATATTCTCCCAAAATATTCCTTATCCTTATGCCAAATACAAAATGAGAGTAAAATAATATTCAGAGAATATAGTGTTGCCTTACCTGATGAGTTGTGGTGAATCCCCCTCGAAGATTCTTGGGTGTGATTTCAGCTATATATATTGGTACCTATTTATGGAAAGGGAACTAGCCATTTGTATTTATTTTAAGTGACTGATATCGTTTGAACAGAAATTATGACAAAATTAAGAGTCATAACAATTACCACATAAGATAGAAGACCTATTCCAAATCCTACCAGCAGTCTTCCAACATAAAGCCACCAAGCAACCTTCAAACAAGCACCAAGCGTTAAATATCAACCACTGAACTTGTGCAAAACCCGTGGGATGAGGACTTTCAACTGATAGAATCCTAACTTTACCCATCTATTATTGAATTGCATTTAGAGAAATTTCGCTCCAAGTCTTTCAACAAGAATTATTAAATTAAAGAATCAATTCAATCTAAAACCTTAAGCTGGTGAGTGATACAACATTAATGGTTTGTTTGAACTCGTGACCACCTGATCATAAGATCTGATACCATGTAATGTAGCCAATTCAACCCAACAACTTAAACTTGTAAATGATATCATAAAACCATGCATGCTCTTTAACAGTTACATTGAACTCTATTCATGGAGGCTTTTTTTTTTTTTTTTTTCCTTCCTTGAAATATAGTTAGGTTAATGAATTATTAGTTAACAGACATATGCAATAGCATGCAAGCAACCTAAAGAAATATGGGAATGAAGTCATAGAAATAGTAAACCTTTGAGACTACTATAGCAAGCCATCCCATGATGCATATAACCTCCGAGAATCCCATGGCCTGCTTAGCAAAATGCAAAATAACCGAAGATTGGAAAAAACTATATAAGACAAGAAACATTCAACTGAAAATGTAGAGCTACACGCTTTGAGAAAAACACAAAATTGGAGAAACTTACAACTCGACGACCTGCGTAATCTGCTATTTTGCCACTTACAATGGCACCAATCATTGCTCCAATTGTCAGTATTGAACCAAAAAGTGAATACTGTTATACATACAACAGATACAGGACTCAAATGAGGCCAATAGATATAAGCTGTGAATGCTTCTCTCATTTCAAGCAGCACAAATAGTTACGAACTCGAGTTCAATACACGACAAAAACAGAGGTTGTGATTCAAAGTTCAAACCTCGGCGACACCAAGATTAAGATCATCCATGATTCCAGATTGAGCAGGGGATGAATATCCAACCTGCAAAAAAATCAGTCAATGACAGTGGTCATTCTGAATTCAGATAAATTTGCAAAAAACCAAAATGCGTAAAAGGGAACTCACGGCAGACCCAAAAACGTAAGAACCAAAGACAGCAACAAGGGAGCTAAGTATAAGAATAGGTGGTAACGAACAAGTTCTGCTTTGACTCTGTCCCTCACAGTCAACGCCATCGTTGCGACCATACCCCTGTGATTCTGTTGAAAGGAGAGGACTTGAAAATTCGCTTGGTTTTGTTTTTTTAGTGTCCATGATTATTACCCACACCGAGACACAGGAGCTGCACAGATTTTTTAAGGTTATGAACAAAGTTAATGCATCTTTGTGTTGCACAAAACGACAGTGCAGTGCTTTGAGATAAGTCTTGACTTGAGATAGAAATGGACAAATGCTGTTGCTTTGAATTATTAGTGTTATTTTGATTCGTTGGAGGTACCACTACCAGTACCAGATTGTTTTTGTTACTCTGGCGAAACTAGATAAGTGGACAATTTTTAATCTGAAACCATTGGCATTCAATAAGTCGATGATGTCTCTTCGTAAACTTGTCTGTTTGTCTTTAATATAATTAATTAAAAATATTTATTTTTAGTCTAATTTAAAATATATTATAATCATGGAGAAGAGTATGTTTACAAAAAAAATTTGCAAATTTTTACAAATTACACTATGTTCTTCCAGGGGAACATAGTGTCACTAGTGTTCTCCCGGGAGAAAATAGTATAGTTTGTAAGAGTTTGTAAACAAAAAAGTTTATAAATATAACGTGTCCTTATAATTAAAATATGTTAAAATTTTAAAATAACATATTCTTATGTGTTTAATTTAAAAATAAATTCATTTTAAATGATATGTGTGGTCCTGTTTGTTTTGCAATAAAATCACAATTGTGCCAAACAAAATTGGGCTATACAGAATCCCAGTGTTTTTTTTTTTTAAATTAATTTTGCAGAGAGTAAGATTATTTAACAAAAATTTAAAAAAATTCATTCGATAAAATTAATTTTAACTGTAAAATTCTTAAAAATTTTAAAAACATATTCTTGTTTATATTTCAAAAATATTTTTACTTTATCATAAAAAATTAATTCTCTTAAATTCACGCTTTCTTTTAAAATTAATTTTACTAAAATCTAAACTAGGCTTACCTATAAGGGTGGCACTGTGAAGGGTAAACAAGAAGCTCGCGGTCGCGGTCATCGTTGTCCTTCCTTTTACCAGAACAGCGTACGCGTAACTTTCTGATATTTCATATTTTTGTGTACGACCTTTTTAAACCACGATATTCTTTATTATTTTTCACAGTTGTAAAAAGTTGACATTATTATTTTCTAAGATATATATATATAATTAATATGCAAATCATATTTTATAGGCGTTAGACTCAATCGGATCTAAAAACAAAATTGAGCATGAATGACTTTTTATTATTAAGTTTTACGATGAGTGAGAAGAAAAAAATATATACATATATAGTAACTACAAGTCTATAACGTAATTGAATTGAATGAGAGAATATTTGTGTCCTTTCGTATAAACACCTAATTCTAAGAATATATGTAAATCATGAGCCTTATTACATGAGACTTGCTGATTGCTATTTCCTTCATTCAGGCTTGCGTATTCGTAGCCTTCCCTTTTTTTGTTTTTTAAATGGACAAGCTTGTTTCACGAAACCTTTATTATTACTCATCAATCTGCCATTTCGAAAATTTCGTACTGGGTTTATTATGCATTGAATTCTACTGCGGTCTTTGTTGAATATGAATTCAAAGAAGCTTGAATTTCTTCTAGTGTACGCCCCTTGGTCTCTGGTACTAGTTTTGCTACGAATAGAACAGTGAAGCCACATATGCTAGAGAATATGATGAAAGTTCCTGCCCCAACATAACATAATAATTAATTTCATTCCATATATAAATATAGAGATCTATTTATCTCCTGTTGTATAGAACAGATACAAAATAATGGGGTCCAATAGTTTTCCAAAAAATAGAAAAAAATAGAAAAAACACGGAACTTCACTACTTTCTGTCTGTTGCATGAGATAAACATATAATTATCTCATGCAACATGAGATAATTATTTTCCATAAATATAAGCACTCTTTACTTTTATAATTTTCTATTTTTTTTTTACTTTCTCAACTTGTTTTTTTTACCATCCATATTTTTTGCTTTATCTTTTAAAGGAATGAATGTGTGGGAATTAGCAGGGATCAAGAATAATAAATGCAAACCTACCTGCTGAACTCCAACTCATGAGGAAGTTAAAAGCATATGAAACAATCCAAGAACACAACCAGTTAATCAAGGTCACAAAGCTTCCAGCAGAGCCCTTCACGTTTATGGGAAATATCTGAAAAATAAAAATATAACCATTAATTCATCATGCTGATGATTTGTTATGTTTGAATTTTTATTTCATGAGCTGAATCATACCTCGGACATTATAACCCAGGGAATTGCTCCCATGCCTATCGAGTAAGATCCTACGTATACCTGGCCATTAATAAAATTAAAAGGACAATTACCATTATATGTCAATCTATAAGTAAATTGGCCTGAATAGACACATGGAATTGAGTTATTATCTTAAAACTTTTAACTTTAGGGGCATCATTCAAATATTAAATCCAATTCTATTTCAAAAAGGCCAATGAAAACTCAAAACATAAGTTCAAGGAAGAACTCGAGAACTACATTAGACATGCTAGTAGCCTAGTAGTATTAATCTTCTCCGAAATTTTACTCTCAATTGTGCAATTAATGCACAAGAGATTATTGGGTAATAGTTTGACATCGCTCTTTCACGGTCATAAACAGAGTAATGGTTGAATACATTAAAGTTAGATACCTAGAGCTTGAATTTAAATTTATGAGATTTTATATATAGGCATAGTTGCATAAGCATTACTTACAAGTACACCAACTAGCGCCAGAATGGGACTGATTCCCTTCAATATATGTAAGTCCTGCATGAAGAATGATAGGGCTGCGAGGAAGCATCCTAAGCATGTTCCCAGTGCAGACACCTGTATAAGAGTCAAAATTTCGGGTTCAGAATTTACAGAACACCACAAAAAGTAGAAACAAAAGCTCAACCCATTTACCAGCAAAAGTGGTCGTCTTCCAGATTTATCCATCAAAAGTACTCCCAAAGTTGTCATTGGGATCTATAAACACAAATGACAGGTTTGTGTGAAGAGACTCAGGAATGAAGGGTGCACTACTGCACTCATCAAAAGTGGCATCCATCTCATCTTATACAGAATTAAGCAGACAGAAATGATGAAACAGTGTAAAGAGAAATAAGAACCTTAACAGCAACCATTGCTATCGTTCCAATACTATCCGAAAACCCTGTCATGGATAAGAAATTTTGCTTTCATGAGAATTTTATCATAAATCTAATATTCTCACATTCATCTTCCCTTACTTATCAAATGAATCAAATGATAGATGCATAAAAAAAGGCCTACACATACCAGCAGAGATAAATATAGAATTTGCATAAAAAACAATGCCATTAATCCCTCCAAACTGTTGCAGTATCATCAAGCCAACTCCGACCTAACCAAGTAAATAAATACCATAAGAGTCTGCAAAAAGTAAAGATAAGATGCTTGAATGGAACTAATTTAGAATGCTCACAGTAAGTGACTTCAAATATTTCAATTGAAATAAGCCAATAATGCTAGCTTCTTTTTGCCGCTGAAGGGTTTCTGTATAATCCTACAAAGAAAAGCACAGTGTAAAAAATGATGTATTAGACTCTTCGGTTTCTTCATTTTTTATTTCACTTCTTTTGCTTCCTGGTTAGATTGTAAGCCAATAGTAACATTCTAATGAACAAAAACTTGATTATATACTCTAATTTCAGTGGCCTCTTGATACATATCAGCATTCTCCCCCCTAAGGCGCTGTAAAGCAGAATCACTCTCTTTCAAACGACCAACCTTAGCCTGCAGAAGATTGCAAGTACCACTCATGATATGTTAGTCCAATGACATGTCTTGACTACAACCATTTGATAAAAGTGATGAAAATTTTCAGTTGCTTGAGTGAGCTATGTCCAACACATACAGTCCAAACAACAAACTTATAGCAGTCATAACAACTCACCAGCCACCTAGGAGAATCAGGGATGAAGGGAAGACTCAGAAGCTGTAAAAGACACGGAATAGTTCCTGAGATAAAGACAAAAAGATTTGAGTTACATGGCACCCTTTGTAATTTTGTTCTGTAAAATGAACACCAGAAAGAAGAATATTACCTATTAGAGCTAAAATCCGCCAATTCGAGAATGCTCCAATAAGATAAGTCAATGACATCCCACAACAAATCATTAACTGTCAAAATAATACCAAATAGGGATTTAAAATAAGCCTACACGTGAAATATGCCAAACATAGGTGATACACACAATAAGAGTGAAATGATATTAAGAGATTAGAGTATTGCTTTACCTGATGAACTGTGGTGAATCCCCCACGAAGATTCTTTGGTGTTATTTCTGCTATATAAACCGGTACCTACTATGCAAAAGGAACTATTTATTTGTATTTTTGGAGCGACTGAACATAGTTTGAACTGCAATTATAACAAATTACACGTCACAACAATTACCACATAAGATAGAAGACCAATCCCACATCCTACCAACAGTCTTCCAACATAAAGCGACCAAGCAACCTTCAAACAAGCACCAAGCGTTATAAAAAAAAAAAAAAACAGCTACTCAACAGAAATTTTTGTTGTAGTCTTGTTAAAAGGATTACTAATTTTCTCTGTCAGGCAAATAAGTTTCATAGTTAACACCATGACATGTACTTCATGTCTTCAATAGTTACAATGAATTCTTTTTTCACTTTCCTTGAAATATATGTAACTACTTTCCTTCTTACTGTAGAAAGGTTACTAATATTACCAGTTATTAGACATATTCAACTAACATGTCAGCAAGATAGAGAAATCTAGGAACGAAGTCGATGTAATTAATGACAAACCTTTGAGAATGTTATGGTAAGCCATCCCAAGATGCAAAATACCTCCGAGAATCCCATGGCCTGCACAACAAAACGCAAAATAACATTAAATGTAAAATCGAATGTAGCCACTTTTTGAGAAATACATAAAATAAGAGAAACTTACAACTCGACGACCTGCGTAATCTGCTATTTTACCACTCCCAATGGCACCAATCATAGCTCCAATCGTCAATATTGAACCGAAAAGTGAAAACTACAAGATTGCAATAAATAATTAAGTACTGAAATATTACAAAAGCAAAGGTTGTGAATTGTGATTCAATGTTCAAACCTCAGCCACACCGAGATTGAGGTCATCCATGATTTTAGATTGAGTAGGGGATGAATATGCCACCTGCAAAATTAATTAGTACTCATGTGACAGTGGTCATTGATGGATTTGACAAAACCAAAATGTGAGAAAAATGGTAACTTACAGCAGACCCAAAAACGAAAGAACCAAAAACAGCAACAAGGGTGCTAAGTATAAGAGTTGCAGGGATAGAAGAGGTTCCACTTTGCCTCTGTCCCTCATGGTCAACGTCATCATTGCCACCATAACCTTGTGATTCAACGTTGCGTGTGGAAAGCAAAGGACTTGAAAATTCGCTCGCTTCACTGCTTTTACTATCCATGATTTCTGTGTTAAATTAAAATAACCAGACACAGCAAAGAGGTTCACAGAGTTTATAAGGTCATGGCACGGAGAGTTAAAGGATCTATAAATAGGGGTTCCTCGTGTTGACCAAAACAACAAGTGGGAAAGTACATGAGATTAGACTTGTCTTCGGATATGGATGTTGTGTTTTGAACAACATCTCAATCCTCGTTGGCCGTAGATATCTTCAATTCTTTTCTTTCTGTTTTTGTTTTTGTTTTTTTTTTTTCGCATGTGACGTTAATATAATAATACCTTGTCGCTGTGCCGGCGGCGTACACGTTTTTTGCGGGTTCAATTTAAAAATTTTGTACGTACGGCCTTTTTTTTTGGGAGGGGTAAAATCTTATATGAATTCAGTACATTATTTTTAAATTTATAATTTAAACTTCTAACGTTAATCTTGTATATTATGTAATTTGAATAGTTGCTAAAGTATATATTTCTTATAAACATTTAATTCTCATGCTCGATTCTCATTAATGGCTTTTGAAGACTTTGTTGTCACAATTCACGCTGCACCTGTGTCGGTCACTTAACCTCAAAGATCGTTTTCATTTTAACACTATTCAACTCTTCATCAAAGTTATTGAAAAATAAAATAAATAAATATATATATATATATATATTAGAGTAAAGACTTTTTTTGATCCCTAACAAAAAAAATACGGTCCCCACTTTAGTCCCTTACAAAAATAAATTAGTCAGTTAGTCCCTAACAAATTCAAGGTAGACCTATTTTAGTCCTTTTGAGGGACTAATATGGGTCTTTTTTGAATTTGTGATGGACCACGATTTCAACTAAATAGGTCCACTTTAAATTTGTTAGGGACTAACTGACTAATTTATTTTTGTAAAAGACTAAAGTGGGGACTGTGTTTTTTTGTTAGGGACTAAAAATGGTATTTAATCTATATATTATATATATATGAGAAAAGTATTTGTCTTTTTAAAGAGAGATTGATACAAAATAAATTTTTTATTTAAAATTTAAATTAAAAAAAAATCAATCACTTTTTCTTCCATGATTTTTATTCTTTGTGTCTATCTCTCTTAAAATGACATAACTTATGTCATTTAAAATGACAAACATCAAATCTTATTTATATATATATATATATATATATATATATATATATATATTCTTCCTGGTGCAAGCAAATTAACTCTACTTGTTGGCCATGAATATTCGTTAGCTATTTAACTCAAGCCACACTCTGTGCTCCCCTTCTATCATTGCTGGTAGGGAGACAAACCACACGTACCCAAGCGTGCACATTATTATTGTCTTTGTGAGAAACTTTTCTTGTGTCTTGCCCTTTTAGTCTCATACGAAGTTGAAGTACCTGTTATCACGTCTTTTGCTAATATTGCCACAAAAGTAGATCGCCTTGGTCTATCATGTCGGTAGTATTTTGCCTCTATAAAACATCCGTTTGACAAGCTTTTGACAAATTAGTTGATTTTGAATTCTTATTAGAAAAAAATAAATCTTCAGCGTCACTCTGTTGATTATATATATGGATTAATTTACACTTATGTTAGAATAAATAATTTTACATTTATTATTAATAGTTAAATTTATTTGTATTTAATTATTTATGTGAACTCTGATCTCTTAAAGTAGATTCAATGGTTAACAACGAAGGTAGAAATATTTATTACTATACGGCTGTAAAACTTTATTTCTTACTTAACGGAGTTTAATTCTTTACACCTCTCAACGAACGATTCGAGAAATAATACACATTATCATAATTTGTATCCAAGAAGAATCAATTCTAAATTGGCAAATGGAATTATAAAATTGTAAAACATAAGTTTTTTGGAATTTGATCAAGAATCCCAATTTTTAGAGTATGAGTAAGGTATCCATAGGAAAATATATAGAAAGTGATTTCTTTTCTAATCATAATTAAATTCACATCGAAAAAAGAAATAGATGTTGTCCATTATGAGTCGGGAGAATCTTTTTCATAATTTCAAGTATCTTCGACTTAACTTAATAAGTTTTTTCTATTCAAATCCAAGAGGAAACAAAAAGATAAAAGAGGTTATCTAATATTATAATATAGAATATATAGGATGGGTAACAAAAGTTAGTATTAGCTCGATCACGATATGAAAGAAACTATGGTACAATATAGAAAAGAAAAGACACCAATCGTAAAAAAATTATCGATTCCACAAAAAATGAGAGATCAGTAAGTAGAAATTTACTGAAATATAATCCTTGTTAGATCGTCAATTTTGTACCAAGGATGTCTTTCGAGTATACCGAATTAGTATAGCTATCCTTCTTCTGACACAGTAACAAAATTTCACAATCTTATTTACGAATCCTTTTATTTATTGTAACCCTAAAAAATTAGAAGAAAAAATACATGTTTTCCGTGGACTTGCCTTGTTATTCTTGCTTTTTTGAATGATATTAAGATGTGATTCCTAAAATTATTTATTTGTTCAGACAATGAAACCTACCTGACTCGGTCGGGTCGACCCAGAATTTGGTGAATCGGTTATCGGACTGGTTCAAGTCAAGTATCATACCTGTTATGCATCGAACTCGATCAAATTCGGCCAAAATCAGTGACCTGTTGACCCGGTCAGGTATGCATTTTTACAAATAAAAAAATCAAAAACCAAAATTATTTCATCTTATCAGAAAAAATGTAGAATGCTTTTTAAAATTTTTTGTAATTTTATTTGTTAGTAGTATACTTTTCTACAATGACCTTGAATTTCAGCTTCCAATACTGAAATAATTTGCGGAACAATAAATTAAGAGAATGTGACATGTCATTTAATGTATATAAATTTGAAAAATATGAGTTACACAACATCTGGCCTTCTTAATGTCATTGAGATGTATGTTTATGAGGATTCTTAGTTGCAATTGACATAGTAATAGCGTATATTTTCATTTATTTGTGGTTTATGAACTTGTAAAAGTGTGATTGAATAATTTTTGAACTTATTAATAAAAATTTTTAACTTATTTTAGATATGGAGAATATAATTTAATTTATATATTCATATTTATATATATCCAGATAAACCGGTCTAATCAATGACTCACATATTCGACCAATGACCCAGTACCTCAACCAAGTCGATGTTTGGATCGAATTTAATAACACTGCTGTAGGGGTATGTGTCGTTATGCCCTTGGCCATTTTGCGATTTGGAGTGCAGACAAAACACTAGTCTTTTTGTGCGTTATGCCCTTGGCCATTTTATAACTTTTATGTATGTGACGTTGTCTTTGTTTTTGTATGTAATATATAAGGGAAAAGGACTTCTCATGTTATATGAGAAGTCTCTTCTCTTATCACTCTCATTTCAATATCTGTGCCAATTATTTTTTTTATTTTTTTCTTTAAGATGAGCCCCACCCCTTTCTCTCTCTGTAGAAAAATTTAAATTTCTCATTCAACATGAGAAATTGCAAGCTCAATATATAATATATATAATCATAATTATAACTAATAAATAATTTCATTTGTCATATGATACTATTTACATATTGCTCACTAAATAAATTGCTAGCAAAATCAAATTTAAATCAACTTCAGATGAAGTTTTTCGATTTTAATTGAGACGAATCAGGCTGTCATTTTACTTTTGTATTAAAAATGAGTAAAAGTGAATTTTTAATAAGATTATAAAAATAAACCGTGAAAGACAGACGAAACAATTTTAAATCATTTGCATACTGATATTTTACTTAAAAGCAAGAGGAATATTAATTATTTATTTCTTATACTTTTCAAATATTTGTAATATTAAATGAAATATCATATTGTTCAAGAACAAGCTTAAATTATTTCATAAAAATAATATTAAAAAATATATTTGACATTTTTTAAATATAATGATATTTTAATGATCTTATCACACAATTTATAACTACTTCAAGCGCCATCATTTGCTTGCTTTTTTAGTTCATTTTACTATTTGATTGATGATGTATTTGGTACACTAAATATTGATTTTAAGAAAAAATAAAGAAATAAGATAGACTAAAATTAAATGCTTATTTATAATTTAGTATTTTATAGATTAAAAATTTTGTTGTGCAATATTAAATAAATATATTTAAAGAAAAAACACAAGTACACAACCATAATAATATTATTCAAATTGGTAAAAAAATAAAATACAAAATATCCTACAATTTAAAAGATGAGGACAATTACATTGCCTACCTATTTTATCATCATTAGATTAAATTTAAATCAATGATCTTAAATATAACAATTTTTTAATTTTATTTCTCTCTCCCTTATTTTTCTCAACCAATTACACCTTTTGTTTCTCACCGTTGATTTAAATATAATCTAGAAAGATAATAAGGACAGAAAAATTAAATAAGTAATTAATACTTTACCAAAAAAAGGTAAGTAATATAATCATCCCTTAAAAAGATATGCCCAAAATATAAATTTTCCCAAAAGGATACTATACTAAGATTAATTTTATTTTATTAAAAAAAAAAAAAAAACTTTTTTCTCTCTCTTGCTAGCTGTTGTTTTTCCTCTCTTTAATTTATGTGTGTCTGAAACGTTGGAGGGTTTTAAGGTTGGGAGCAGAGGTTTTACCACCTGTCCAGAACCAATTGAGCTAAACACTAACTCTTACGAACCCATGTCAGAGAGACACAAAGACACGGAGATAGAAACAGATGAGACTTGGGTGTGAGTGTGATATATATTGTCAGCTTTGAATAACAAGAACTTGATCATAATTAATTTCTGGACTTTTCTGTCACTTTGAATTCGTAACTCCCTTGCTAGCCAGAGTCCAGAGAGTAAGAAGAAGAAGAATGCCTTTATGAGGCATCAACCATCATGCCGCAATCCCGCAACCACTCTATGTGTCTGTTTTTTTTCTCTGCCACATTTCTCACACTTTGTTAGCTTGGCCTTCTATCACCTTTAATGGCGAGAGATTATTGTTTATGATATTCTTTCGTTTAATTAACCTCTTGGTATGTCTTTTTTCTGCCTTACGTGATTCTTTTTTCTTTTCTTTTTTACTTACCCAATTGTAGATGGGTACGCACACAGGGAAAAGATGTTTGCTACTGCTAATATTTGAAATTATGTGTTATGCAGGAACAATAAAATATAATAAAAAAATAAACCCACAAACAAATCAACCAAAGGTTCCAATGGACGATGCTTTTAATGATAAACACCAAAAATCAGGTCTTTTGTTTTCTTACCGTTGTTCTACTGCTCAAGGTTCCTTCCATTACTGCATCCCTCTTGAATAGACCTTTCTTGTGGTTTTTGTCTGTCCCTAGCTATGCTCATAATTTTCAATTTTATTTTGTTCTTCCAGATATGAGACATTTCGATTTGAAGAGAGAGAAAGAAGATGCCTCGTCTCCAAGAATTGACTCTCATCAATCACCTGAATTGGTTACCAGTTGTCCAAGCGTAAGGACACGATTTCACTGGATAAAGTTTTTGAAACAATGGAAAAAAAGATCAATTAAGCACCCAACGTCCTTCCCTTTTATTTGTTTGCCAATCATAACAAAATCTAAAAGCAAAAGCATTAGAGAAAATCCCGTTCTATGTAATGGATACAACTCCAAATCTTCTTTGGTGAATTTCAGCCTCTCTGAACTGAGAAATACAACCAAAAATTTTAGCAATGGTCAGTACTCTAGCCCTGGATTTCAGTGCAATGGTTCTCCAGTATTTTAGTTAATAATTTTCATTTGAAAATATTTGCTATATATCTGTGTGGATGTTCATAGTGAGTATATATTATTGCTTTCTTAAAAATGGGATAAGTTTGACTATGTCAATTGTTGAAAATCGACAATTGCACTATACAAAATCAAAAACAAAAAGAGAAAGGGAGAGAAAATTGACACAATGATTTATCCTAGTTCACCCAATGTAGGTTGTGTCCAACTTGTTTGTATTATATTCATCTTATCGTCACTAGTTACAAGTCACTCGATTTTTAAGGGAATATAAATAGGATTTAGAAAATACTAAGGAAAATACAATGAGAGACCCACAAGAGTTCTCATCTGAATGCGAAGTATGAGCCATACCAACATCGATTTTATTGTTCGTTTTACTTGTAGAAAATTTAATTGGAAGAGGTGGCTTTGCTGAGGTTTACAAGGGTCGGCTTCAAGATGGACAACTAATAGCGGTAAAGCGAATGAATAAAGGGACAACAGCGGAGAGGACATCAAGCTTTCTATCTGAGCTTGGCATTATTGCTCATGTTGACCATCCTAACACTGCCAAGCTTATTGGATGTGGTGTAGAAGGAGAAATGTACCTTGTCTTCCAACTATCTCCACTGGGAAGTTTAGGATCTCTTCTCCATGGTGTGTATACTTACTTGCCTTGCAATATATGTGAAATCTTATTGTTTAATTGTGTTTACTACTAATTACTATTTACTCTTTCATGACATATTCAGGTTCAAATAAAAACAAATTAGATTGGAGTAAAAGGTATAAAATTGCTATCGGGGTAGCTGATGGCCTCCTCTATCTTCATGAGATTTGTCCAAGGCGAATCGTTCATAGAGATATTAAACCAGAGAATATTCTGCTCACAGAGAATTTTGAGCCACAGGTATTTATTAAGTGTCATTAGAGAGAATTACTAATAAAACAAATTGTGCATTATTACCTTGATATATGCATGAAAGTTCGGCTTCTTGAATGTATTTTGTGATTGTGTGCGTACAAAGAAGTTTCGACTTTTGTTTACCTCACCTGGGTTGGTTTCGGGTATATTTATCCTTCAGTTGAAGGTTGGTTGAGCTTTTCTTGAAAGTAGGACATGGGTTACTTCAATACCATAGTACATTTATTTGAACATTGATTCTTTCCAATTTCAGATTCCAACCATTGTGTTGTAACTGATATATACAGACTTATTTATATAGTGATAAATATATAGATACACATTTTAGCATGGCAATGCTTTATCTATCGAGAGGTCCATGGACAATATTTCTCCCGCAGAACAACACCATCGAGATAGAGTTTTTGTGTGATATGTTCAGTGTAACCTGCTGGAGCATATGGCAAGACAGAAACAACCAGGTCTTCAATGGTGCAACTCCTAATCCGGTTAGATCTGTGATACGTATAAGGAAATTTATGGAGAATATTTCCTTTGCAGATGAGATGCACAAGATTGTTAATTTACCATCCACTCTTAGAACCGAGGTAAATATCAGCTGAAAATTTTCCAGAGAGGGTTGTATCGAGATTAACTCGGATGGCTCCAGCTCCCAGGGTGGTTTGAGGACTTCATGGGGAGGTGCCTTAAGGAACTGTCAAGGTAACTGGATTGTGGGATTCAGGAATTACACGGGGTAGGGAAATGCCTTGTTGGCGGATGATGAACCCTTTATAAAGGTGTACACAAGAAAGAAGAAGAGGAATTATCTTGAGGGGCTGGACACTCATGAGACAGAGGCAGAAAATGATCCAGGAAATAGAAATGAGCCCAAATTGAAGGCTGACAACTCAACAAAGGCCCAAGGACAAAATGGAGAGAAGCAACAAACAAATTGAGCATGCAATCAGCATAACAGATTGTGGGTGGAGAAAGCGTGGGGGATGACATGTGGGTAGGTTGTTATAGGAGAGACAAATAAAACAAGAAAAAGGAATATAAGCAGTAGAGGGGTAGAGAAAAGGGTAAGAAGTTTTTTAAGAATTCTGGTGTAATTTGGGAAGAGGGACTGAGAAGTCCTCTTGGAGAGTGAGTCAGGCTATGTTAGCCATATCAGTAGTGTTTCTTTAATTTCTGCAATTTTCTTGTAATGTGTCTTAAGCTGTTGAACCTTTTTCAATATAATTCAGTATTATTCAGCATATTTGTTATCTAATCAATTACTGTGAAATAGTTGGTTTGTTCTTGTTACATCTGCTATGTTTTAATATTTGGAGTCCATCAATTGGTATCAAAGGTCCCGGTCCTTGGAGCAGTGAATGGTATTGACGAGAATGGAGGCCAGAGTAGAAACGATTGAGAGACGAACGACCCAGGTTGAGGGACTGATGCAGGAGATGATGGCAGAAATGCGTCAACTCTGTCAGACGTTCATGGTGTATATGAACAGAGAGAACAGGGGAGGAAACAGTTGGTTGGGAGGAGAAAGAGAAAACAAGGGAGGACGAAATGATAGGACTGGACGAGATGACGATCGGATGAGGAGTTTGGAGGTATCTTTTTTTCCAGAGATGATCTATACGGATGGATATATAAGGCGGAGCGTTATTTCAGGTTCAATCACATTTTACCTGAAGAACAAGTAGAAGCAGCGTCAATTTGTATGGAAGGGAGGGCCCTAAACTGGTTCCAATGGTGGGAGGCACGGAATCCAAACACCGATTGGGAGCAACTTCGTGCGGGCTTGTTACAGAGGTTTCACACCTCTACGTCTGGGAATCCCTATGAAACTCTGATGTGCCTTCGACAGACGGGGACGGTAACAGAATACCGTGAGAATTTTGAGATGTTGGTTGTTCCTTTAAGAGGTGCAGATGATGAAGTGATGAAGGCAGCATTCCTAAACGGACTTAAGGAAGAAATCCGTGCTAAAGTGCGCATACAACCAACTACTGATATGGAAGGGATAATGGCGTTGGCTCAACGGGTAGAAGAAAAGGAGCTGGTCATGGAGAAGAAGACGTGTCCATGGGGCAGAAATGGGCCTAATAATAATGGGCCATGAAATGGATTTCGTTCACGGCCAGCTTTAACAACCCGCAATGGAAGCATATTTGGGGCAAATAATGTGGGACATGGGAATGGGTTACAAATAATGGGCCACATCAGACCCCACAAGGGCCCAATCCGAAAGGGAATAGAGGATGTGGGTCTTTTTCACCCTCAAATGGGACACATGGAACCCTAAGACCTGTGTCGGCTGGGGTGAGTGAGGGGCAAAGGTCAAACACTGGGGGAAACAGCAGCGGCGGTGACAACCAGTCAAGATTCTGACGTCTGAGCGCGGAAAAGATCGCGGAACGCCGGCGACGGAACATTTGTTTTAAATGTGACGCTTCTTTTTCATTCGATCATGTCTGCGCGAATAAACATATGCGTGTGTTGTTGCTCGATAAGGATGACAGAGAAGATGCAGTCACACATGAAGCCATCGCGAAGGCCATGGGTGAGGAGGAACAGACGATGCGGTTGAGCGTTCACAGCATCGTGGGGATGTCCTCGAATCGGTCGTTGATGGTTTGGGGAAAAATTGACAGGAAGAAGGTCATGGTGTTGATCAACTCAGGGGCTTCACATAATTTCATGAACACTCAAGTAGTTGAGGTATTGGGCTTGTTGGTGGAAGACACGAAGGGACAGATGGTGGAAGTGGGCGATGGACACCGAATTCCAAACAAGGGAATGTGTCGTCAGCTTGTTCTTGAGTTTCCAAATATGTCGGTGGTGCAGTATTTCTAACTTTTTCCTTTAACTGGAATTGATGTCGTATTGGGGTTTGATTGGTTGTGGGCTTGGGAGAAATTTGCGCAAACTTTAAGGAAATTAGCCTTAAAATCCCTACGGATAAAAGGATAGTGAAAATTAAGGGAGAACCCGAGTTGACCAGGAGCATGGTATCCTACAAGAAGATGGGAAAGACATGGAAGAAGGCCGATGAGAAGTACTATATCCAGCTGAGCTTGCTGCATATGGAAGTAGTCACACAGAGAAGGAAGACAAGGGTGGTAGCTCAGGTTTTGCAAGAGTACCAAGACCTGTTCCAACCATTGACTGAACTGCCACCTGCCCGTGAGTGTGACCACAAGATCAATCTAGTGGAAGGTGCAACACCTCCCAACATCAGGCCTTATCATTATCCACATTATCACAAGGAGGAGATCGAGAAATTTGTGAACTAGATGCTACTGTCAGGTATGATTCGGCCAAGCACCAGTCCTTTTTCAAGCCCTTTGATTCTGGTCAAGAAGAAAGATGGGAGCTGGAGGTTCTGTGTCGATTATCGGGCACTAAACTGGGTAATTATTACTGATAAGTTTCCTATGCCTGTAATTGATGAGTTATTAAATGAATTGCATGGGGCTGTGATCTTCTCTAAATTAGATTTAAAGTCAGGATATAATCAAATTAGGATGAGAGTGGAGGACATTGCTAAAACGGCATTCCGGACACATGAGGGTCACTACGAATACCTCGTGATGCCATTTGGGCTTAAGAACGCCCCTTCCACGTTTCAGGCATTAATCAATGAGATGTTCAGGCCTTTTTTGAGAAAAATTATTCTTGTGTTCTTTGATGATATTCTTATGTACAACAAAGACAGGACAATACATGTGCAGCACTTGACCCAAGTCCTGGAGGCTCTAAGGCAGAATAAGATGACAGTTAACCTGAAGAAATGTAATTTTGAAGAGGACGAAATGGAGTACTTGGGGCATATAATCAGCAAGGAGGGAGTGAAGGCAGACCCCAACAAAATGGAGGCCATGCGTTCTTGGCCCAAACCAAAGAATGTCAAGGTGGTTAGGGGATTCTTAGGGATCACAGGATATTACAGAAGGTTCATCAAAGAGTATGGGTTAATTGCACGCCCATTGACACAACTCTTAAAAAAGGACAATTTTCATTGGGGCACCGAGGTTGAAGAGGCATTTGAGAGACTAAAGCAGGCCTTAATTAATCTGGCCATTTTAGCGTTGCCTAATTTTGACAAGCCACTGGTGGTGGAAACTGATGCATCCGGATTAGGCATAGGGGCGATGCTGATGCAAGACTCCATCCCTATTGCTTTTCTCAGGCAAGCATTTTCGGACAGCGAAAAACATTTGTCTGTTTATGAGCAGGAATTGAAGGCAATTGTGTGTGTAGTACGGAAATGGAGACATTATCTGTTGGGCAAAAAATTCATCATCCGTTCTGATTAGAGAAGTCTCAAATATCTGATGGGACAGAGAGTTATGCCTAAGAAGCAACAGAAGTTGGTAGCCAAATTGTTAGGTTTTGATTTTGAGATCCAATACAAGTCGGGGAAGGAGAATACAACAGCAAATGCCATTTCTCGTGTTATGGAATTTAAAGAGTTATCTCTAGTCACTAGCCCGAGCCTACAGGCTTTGACAGGGGAGATAGAGGCTGACAAGGATATTCAGAGCATGATTGTAGAGCTTATACAAAATCCCCAATCTCATCCAGGTTATGCTTTGACCAGGGGATGCCTATGGCTTAAGGGTCGTTTGGTGATTCCCCCAAATTCTGCATATATTCCCCAATTGCTGCGTGAATTTCACTCCACTCCTTGGGGAGGTCATTCAGGGGAGTTGCGCACCTTTAAAAGAATTTCTGCATTGTTCTTTTGGAGAGGAATGAGAAGAGAAGTGCCCCATTTTGTGGCAGCCTGCCATGTCTGTCAACAACAAAAGTATAATCAATTGGCTCCAGCGGGTTTGCTTCAACCGCTGCCAATCCCATCAAAGGTTTGGGAGGAGATCTCAATGGATTTTTTGGGAGGCCTACCCAAGTCACATGGCATGGATACTATTCTGGTTGTTGTGGATAGGCTCACAAAATACGTTAATTTTGTGACATTGACACATCCATTTATTGCACAAGAAGTGGCTGTCTTATTTGTGAAGGAAATCATTCGGTTGCATGGTTTTCCTAAAACTATTGTATCCAACCGTGACCGTATTTTTGTTAGCTCTTTCTGGAAAGAATTGTGGCGTTTAGCCGGCACCGCATTAAATATTAGTTCCGCTTACCATCCGCAAACGGGCGGACAAACCGAAGTGGTGAACCGAACTCTAGAGACATATTTGAGATGCTTTGCAAGGCAGCATCCCAAGACTTGGGTTAAGTGGATTCCATGGGCAGAGTTTTGGTTTAACACCTTCAATCGTTCAATTCAGATGACACCTTTCAAAGCTTTATATGGACGTGACCCTCCTCTGATTATTCAGTTTGAGGTAGGCTGCACCAAGCTGGATGCAGTGGATCAGTTGTTGCAGACTAGAGATGCTCTACTGACAGATTTGAAGCATAACCTTTGTCATGCGCAAGCACAGATGAAAGCACAAGCTGATAGGCATCGGAGAGAGGTGGAATTTCAAGTAGGTGATCAAGTTTATTTAAAACTCCAACCTTATAAATTGCGGTCTTTAGCTGGACGTTTAAACCAGAAACTCAGTCCTCGATTTTATGGCCCATTTGAAATTGTGTGGAAGGTTGGTCAAGTGGCATATCAATTAAAACTTCTAGAATATTCAAGAATACATTCAGTTTTCCATGTCTCTCAACTCGAGAAGGTTATCAGCCCTACCACACCAGTATTAAATCTGCCCAGGTTTTTGACTGAAAACTTGGAACTACAAGTTCAGCCTGGTGAGGTGTTGGAAGCCCGTAAGTTGTTGAATGGGCAGTTGGAAGTATTGGTGAAGTGGAGGGACCTCCCTGACTGTGAAAATTCATGGGAAAGTTTTCACAAACTACAAGAGCAATTCCCTCATTTTCACCTTGAGGACAAGGTGAATTTTAAGGAGGGTGGTATTGATGAACCATTTATAAAGGTGTACACAAGAAAGAAGAAGAGGAATTATCTTGAGGGGCTGGACACTCATGAGACAGAGGCAGAAAATGATCCAGGAAAGGGAAATGAGCCCAAATTGAAGGCTGACAGCTTAACAAAGGCCCAAGGACAAAATAGAGAGAAGCAACAAACAAATTGAGCATGCAATCAGCATAACAGATTGTGGGTGGAGAAAGCATGGGGGATGACATGTGGGTAGGTTGTTATAGGAGAGAGAAATAAAACAAGAAAATGGAATATAAGCAGTAGAGGGGTAGATAAAAGGGTAAGAAGTTTTTTAAGAATTCTGGTGTAATTTGGGAAGAGGGACTGAGAAGTCCTCTTGGAGAGTGAGTCAGGCTATGTTAGCCATATTAGTAGTGTTTCTTTAATTTCTGCAATTTTCTTGTAATGTGTCTCAAGTTGTTGAACCTTTTTCAATATAATTCAGTATTATTAGCATATTTGTTATCCAATCAATTACTGTGAAATAGTTGGTTTGTTCTTGTTACATCTGTTGTGTTTTAATATTTGGAGTCTATCAGCGGAACTTAAAGGTATGCTTTTGGGTTCAGAAGTGGCATGGAAAAGAGGTTTTAGAAGAGTCTAGCTTGAGGGGAATTCAACTTTCGTCATATATCTGATCAGTTCAGGGTGCCAAAAGCATCAACCCTTTTTCACCTTAATCTCGAGGATCCAGATGCTATCAGCAAGGACTAGACGGTGCAAATCACACACACCTATAAAGAAGGAAATATGGTTGTAGATTGGCTAGATTCTAGTGCTGTCTTCCAAGCTTGGGACATGGAAATTCTAGTTGATTCTCCTCAGGAAAGTAGGAGTCTGATTTTGAGAGACCTGATGGGGGTTACTACCCCTACATTGGTTTATTTGTAGTTTATGTTATTTTGTTCTTTTCTTTCCTGTTTTTTTCCACACACAAAAAGGAGGATACCCCGACCCTCCTCACCATGTTGTCTCAAATTTGCTCCGTCCTTTATAACCAAGCCGTTTTGAAGAACATTTCTAGCTATATGGACCCTCTCAAGAGAGAGAAACTTCACTCAAGAGCATTTATGCATCTACGAGTGTGCATGTGATTAATTGAGCTTATCCAATACTTCTAAACTTGCATGTAACATTCGTGTTGGTACGTATGTATTAGTCTCATTTCACCTGTGGTCCTCAGCAACCCCTGCTACCTCCCAATTCCCTATCACATGACTTCCAATCAAACATCTAATAAAGGAAGAGATGTGAATGTGAAGCGTTCTTCAATTGTGATTAGAAATTTGTCTGCCATAAGGCATTAGGATCGATCTAGTGGTGAGGGATTTGATAAGTTGTATTCGGTTGTATGTTCAATTCTCACCAATGTATCAAAAAAAAAAAAAAATGTCTGCCACTTGACCCATATTCACTATCATTTGCAATTATGAGTTGGCCATACAAGATACTCAATAAGTCTATTAATGCTATTAATTAGACCAGGTTAATATCAATTACCTTTTTAATGTCTCACATCTTTGTATTGCTATAAAAGTCATAATGATTGTATGGAATAAAAAAATAATTGTTTTCTTCCAATCATTCTCTGATACCAAAATCAGATGAAAAAAATGAATAAACAGAAAATTGAAATTTTATAAAAGAAAAATCTCTATTCTCAATTTATAATATCGAAATAACAAAATTTCAACTTCTTATCATATGGGTCTTAAATACTCTTTTATAGGCCAAAATACAAATCAATAAAACTAAATTTGCCTAAAAGCAAAAAAAAAAAAGGTTTAACAATAGCTGATTATAATCCAATCACCGTTAAAAGTTCTAAAAAGCCCTAATCATTAGAGAAAAGTTTTATAAATAAAAACTTAGAAATCAATCAAACAAAACATATCCCAAATTTTAATCTTGCAGGCCTGCCAACTTTCTTTAACACGTGGGTCATGTTGGATGAGTGATAAATTTGATTGGAACTTGATTTTTTGAATCAACCCATTAAAAAGTTGTTCATGCATAATAAACCGACCATAAGTGCATTACTCTTTCCTTTCTGTTTCCTTTCTTACCAATCACTTCCCTTTGTAATTCTGCCATTCTACAATTACTGTTAACACTACATGTTCTGCAAGTGAAATCATCTGCAGACAACGTGCCTGTGGATTTTAAGGCTGTGCTTCTGTATCCCATAGTAGAGTATCAGTTTCATCTGATTTATTACTCTGATTAATTGGAAATTTCTCCAGATTTGTGATTTTGGGCTTGCAAAGTGGTTGCCAGAACAATGTACTCACCATAATGTATCAAAATCTGAAGGCACATTCGGGTATGCAAATAAATATTAAAAAATAAAAAAATTACTAAAACTATAGTTTGTGAATTGTGAGGCTCTCATGATTTAATATTTACCCATCATTACTTGATTGCCAGGTATTTTGCTCCTGAATATTTGATGCATGGCATAGTAGATGAGAAAACTGATGTCTATTCCTTTGGGGTCCTACTTTTGGAGATTATAAGTGGGCGTCAGGCTTTGGATAATTTGCAGCAAAGTATTGTGTTATGGGTAAATCAGTTTCCTAAATGATAGTATGTTTTGTCATCTTAGTATCGCTGCATAAGAGGCCTTGACTTGACACATTATGATTTCTTATGTGTTGTAGGCAAAGCCTTTGCTTGACGATAATAATATTAAGGACCTTGTTGATCCTTCTCTTGATGAAGATTATGACCCAGAACAGATGGATCGTGTTGTTTTGACTGCATCTCTGTGTGTTGAGCACTCTCCTCTCTTACGCCCCTGCATGAGTCAGGCAAGTATATATGCAACCTACAAAATTGCACTTTCTTCATCTGGTTCCTCCAAATTGAAGTTTCACACAAGTGACACAATTGCATTACCACAATCTTAATGAAAGTACACTATAAGATCTGAACTGTATCTTTAATTTCTCAGTTAATTACTAATGTTTGAATAATATCTAGGATTATAGTGCAAGACTTTTTTCTATTTAAAAATAAATCTTGTTTCTTTTGTTACACTAAAAATTAGTTCAACACAAAAGTTTAAGTTATTAGGTGAATATTTTGATATATATTTGTTAGCATTTTACATTTACTCTCCTCCACAATACTATATATATATATATCACAATAGTTTCATTTTAAATGATACAAAGTTATATCATTTAACATGAAAAACACTCCACCTGTTTGGATGAATTTTTTTTTTCAAAAGCTACTTTTTTAAAGAAAAAAAAAATACTTCTCATTATAAGTTCGTTTAGATGTTTACTTAAAAAAAAAACAGAAATCACAAAAAAGTCAAAAACTTACTTATTTTAGAAGTTAAAAATTATAATTTCTAAAAAAAGTATAAGTCAAAATCAAATAATTTTTTTTTTCAAAAACTAAATATTTTTTAAAATTTTTAAATAACTTTAACTTTTATAAAAAATACTTCTAAAATAAGTAAACCGGCTCTTATTATATTTTATTATTTCTTTGATAGTTGCATAAGCACTTCGTTTCCTTTAAGTTCACCTTTTGTATTTCTGTGAAGGGTGAAAGAAAAGCAAAGAAAGCGTGTTAATTCATTTAAGAGAAGATTGATCACATTTTCTTTATTGGCTGCAGATTGCAATACTGCTAAGAGGTGATGATTTTGTCCAGGAATCTGCAAAAGAATGCCCGAGGCGGTCTCTCCTAGAGGTGCTACAGGATTCTTGAGAGCTAAGGACATCATATTCAAAACCTGTGGTTATGTTACTAGTTGCATGTCCCAAAATAATTTATAAAAACTCTTAATGATAAACTTCGATCTTGCGGTGTCTGCAAGTCTATGGATGAACTCTACAAAACTTATAAAGTGTTTGGAGAATAATGGATCTATGAGGAACCCTTATCCCATGAACTAAATTTAAAGGGGTATAATTATGTAAGTTATTAAAATTTAAATGTTTAAATTAAATCATAGGATTTTAAAATAGAATGTATCTAACAAGATTTAGATGAAAGTTTCAAAAGAATAAGAAGCAATTATAATTGCATATAACTTGAAAATAAGGATGGACTATTTTCGCTCTAGAGGTTTGAAAATTGAAATCCAGTTTGTGAAATGTCAGCAGATACGTTGAAATTTATCGCTATTCGAAATGCTTGCTTTGCTATATTAAAAAAAAATGTTTTTTTTTTTTTTTTGTGATTGGGGATTTGAAACGCAGAAGACTTTGGAAAAGTAAAACCATTTGTAAAGCGATTTACGAGTTAGATTTTCAGTTTTTTTTTTTTTTTTGGTACGTGAGATTTTAAGATACTCTACCTGCCAAATAATTTTTTATCAGGCACAAACAAATACAAGTTGAAACTTGGAAGAGCAAACAAATCAGATCAGATAAAAATATTTTAATTAAGTTTGGTTCGACATCTAGTTTAAGATACTCTCTCAATTATCTTGGTACGCGGAATTCTTCAAGATTTTCGAGAAATTAAATTTTTCTAAATTTTAAATTTATGAATATTATCATAAATTAAATATAAAAATTATATTTTTAAAAATTAAGATTTTTCACTAAAAAAATTTTCTCCTCTACTAAACATTCCCTTAAGCAACGCATCACGCGTTAATCAAGTCATTAGGATTAAGATTTAAACCTCAGGGTTCCCATTGTACCCAAAAAAAAAAAAAAAAACTTTTGAGCCCTAACTATTTTAAATTCAGCCAAATGATTTCATCTTAATAGCGTAAAACTTATTCAGAGTAAGTTTTTTACTTACAAAACTCGAATTCAACATTCATACTATCAGAATTTAGAAAGAAAAAAGATGTTGCTTGTCGTAATCAAGCTTCCTTGCGTAACACATAACTCGATCAATAACCGGGCAAGTGATCCAAAATAGCACACAAGACCCACTTGCAATGTCCAAATTACCCCCATTTCAAAAATATTTGGAGGGGATGTGTCCGACATTAGGGAAAATGGGATGGGATGTTAGTGACATTTGAAGGGGGAACTTGTTTTGCAATTAGCACCAACTCAACTCAAGCACAAGCGGAGAGAGAGAGAGAGAGAGAAACAGAAAGGTCTAAACGGAACGGAGAAGAAGAAAAGCGAACAAGGTCAAATCAAATCAAATCAACTCAACTCGAGTAAACGGTATTTTTATGGTAAATCGGCCACACTCGTCGACGGTGATTCACCGGTAACCGGTAAACAATCCCTTCATTGACTTATGATTATGAAGAAGGAGAATATAAAGACCAATGGATTTATCCCCTCTTCTTTCAACTTCATATCTTCTTGCATTAAGACTGCCTCTTCCGGTGTTCGTTCCCAGCGCAAGGACCAGGTTCTTCTCTTCATCAACTCTTTAACCGTTTCAATTTGACTATTATGTTCTGACGATGCTGCTGCTTTTTTCTTTTTTTCTTTTTTTCTATTTATCATCGTCGTCGTCGTCGTTGTTACTTTTTGAATTTGAGTTTGGGTGGGAGAATGCGGTTCACAGTTGTGTGAGAAATAAAAATATATATGTATGTGTTTTGAATTTGATCATTCATTCTCTAGCGGCAAATTTGATTCCGTGAAATTCTTCTAAATGCCATGTTGCCACACGACTATTGAATTTGAGAGGCCTTATAAGAGAGCGCATATATGTACAAGTTGCGTGTCATTGATTGAGGAATGAAGAGTGTACCAGTTATGGAAATGATTAGGATTAATAATGGATAAGACTTAGCATCATAGTGACTACTATTAAGTCACTTTTCAGAAGATCAAAATGTCAAAGGTGGTATATGGTTTCATGAAATGTTTATTTCTGCCAACTTATGCTTTTTTAGTTCACCGAACCACTGCACTACTTCATGTCGAATGTCATAATTGCTTTTCACCTGTGCACGATAATTTTTAATTTTTTTTTGGGTTATAAATCATCCTGTATGCCGTCTGTGGATCATAAGGGCCGTAAAATTCTTCTTTATCAAATTTTAATATATCGTTACTCAAACTCAAAATCAATGGTTAAGCTAGAATAAGTCCATATTAAAATTAAAATTATATAATTCGCTGAAATGTAATTATTTCATCTACTTTGTAATAAAATTAAAAACATACTTTTTTTTATTAGAAACATATAATTTGCCTAACTACTTTTACACCACCTATTTCTTTATTTCTAATGCTATATGAGTCCACGTATTTCTAATTTATAATTTCTTTATTCACCTCTGTTTTGTCATGCAGGTGCTTTGGGCCTGCTTTGACAGGCTAGAGCTTGCTCCATCTTCTTTCAAACGTGTTCTGTTACTTGGTTATTCCAATGGCTTTCAAGTTCTTGATGTGGAGGATGCCTCTAATATTAGGGAACTTGCCTCAAAGCATGACGACCCAGTTTCATTTTTACAGATGCAACCCATCCCTGAAAGATCTGAGGGTCGTGAAGGATTTAGAGCATCACATCCTTTACTCTTGCTTGTTGCATGTGATAAATCAAAGATTCCAGGTACAATGCAAAATAGCAGAGATGGACTTCTCAGAGATCATACTGAAGCTCAAGCTGAAAATATTGTCAGCTCAACTACGGCGGTTCGATTTTACTCACTAAGGTCCCATACCTATGTTCATGCTCTGAGATTTCGTTCAACTGTCTACATGGTTAGATGCAGTTCTCAAATAGTGGCTGTGGGTCTTGCTACGCAAGTAAGGTTTTGATTCAATTACTTACTCAAACTGCGTTTAACACATGTTTGGAAATCAACACTTTCACTTATTGAAGAAATTGAATTTATGATAATTCTTCGGGATAGGTTTTAGTGATTTCTTTTGACATGTTTGAAAATCGCAAGGTTACAGGACAGTGATAATTTATCATGTCACACCTAATGAACCATTTTTTTACTGTTCATATATGAGTTTAATGTGAAATACTAGTGATACTGCAATAGCTAAAACCTGAATTTTTTTCCTCCATTTTTATTATGCTGGCAGATATACTGTTTTGACGCTCTTACTCTTGAGAATAAATTCAGTGTTCTCACTCACCCTGTACCTCAGTTGGGAGACCAAGGAATGACTGGGGTTAATATTGGGTATGGTCCCATGGCTGTAGGCCCCCGATGGTTAGCTTATGCTTCCAACAATCCATTGCTATCAAACACAGACCGCCTTAGTCCTCAGAATCTGACACCTCCTGCTATCAGCCCATCAACATCACCCAGCAATGGAAATCTGGTAGCCCGATATGCCATGGAATCCAGCAAGCACTTGGCTGCTGGACTGATCAACCTCAGTGACATGGGGCATAAAACATTGTCTAAATACTATCACGATCTTATACCTGATGGATCCAGTTCTCCTGTATCATCAAATTCAAGCTGGAAAGTTAGTCGGTTTACATCACATCCTACTGAAACAGACACGGCTGGTTTGGTGAGTCTTCTATTGTTGGTGTCAACTTACAAGTTATAATCTGATTTCCTCGTACAGCGTGCTGACTGCTAACTAGATATTTTCTTTTTAACATCTGTATTACAATTTGCATGAGATCATCTATTAGTTCAGCTTAACCATAGTAGAAGGATTATCTAAGGTAGTTGATAGTGCCGGGTATTTCACCAAAGCCTCTTCTCTTTACTCCCACTTCTTTGAATGGTATGTCATCTGAAAGTAATCATTGTAGCTGCTCGTTGATTTGTATCACTGATCTATTTCAGGTTGTTGTCAGAGATTTTGTTTCTAGAGCTGTTGTGGCACAATTCAGGGCCCATACTAGTCCAATATCCGCTTTATGTTTTGACCCAAGTGGGACACTTCTAGTTACTGCATCAGTTCATGGAAACAACATTAATATATTTCAGATTATACCATCCTCTTCAAGGAATGGATCAGGTTGTCAAAGTGGTGATTGGAGCTATTCTCATGTGCACCTATACAAGCTCCACCGTGGCATCACGTCAGCTGTATGCTCCAATTCTCAGTGTTTCTTTAAGGGCTTTATATTTATATACTCACGAATGTTTTAATTCATTATGTATATTATACAGGTTATACAAGATATTTGTTTTAGCCATTCCAGTCAGTGGATTGCCATTATTTCTTCCAAGGGCACTTGTCATATTTTTGTTCTTGCCGCTTTTGGTGGTGACACAGTTCTTCAGATACGGAATCATGACTCAGAGGGGGCTGTTCTTTTTACAACTTTACCTCTACCATGGTGGTTCACTCCACGTTTCACAGTAAACCAGCAACAGTCTTGCCCAGCACCCCCGCCTCCTGTTGTCCTCTCTGTGGTTAGCAGAATAAAAAATAATAATGCCGGATGGCTCAATACAGTTAGTAACGCTGCATCTTCTGCTGCCGGAAAAATCTCTATTCCTTCTGGTGCTGTTTCTGCTGCCTTTCATAGTTCCATACCTCATGATGCACACAGTGCATTATCTAAAATTCATGCTCTGGAGCATTTGTTGGTTTATACCCCTTCTGGTCATTTAATTCAATATAGATTACTACCATCAATGGGGGCAGAGTCTATTGGAACTGTTCCAAGAACAGATCCAGTTCCTTCAGCTCAGATACGAGAAGAGGATTTGCAAGTGAAAGTTGAACCTGTTCAATGGTGGGATGTCTGTAGGAGACATGATTGGCCAGAAAAAGAGGTAAATATATCAGGGAATAGTCTGGAAGCTGCAGAAATTATTTTGGATACTTCGGATTACCAAGATAGCAGTGTTGGGAACAATAATTCTATTAAACTTCATGAGCAATGCCACTTTTCAAATGCGGAGGTACAAATAAGCTCTGGGAGGATACCAATTTGGCAGAAGTCTGAGGTATTTATTGCAGTTTCTATTCTGGATACTCATAATTGTTACCTCGTTCTACATTCTTGTTTTCTTTCAACTAAACTCTTACCCCTCCAATGTTTAGGTGTCTTTCTTTGTGATTAGTCATTTGGAGGCCAAGGAGCTGAATTTATCTGAACTTAGTGCTGGTGGAGAGATTGAAATCGAAAATATTCCTATAAATGAGGTTGAAATGAAGGATTTGTTGCCAATCTTTAATCAATTCCATGAAATTCAGTCTACTTGGGTTGACGGGTAATGATCACTTATCTGCCTTTTCTTTGGTCCATTAGAGATGTCTTTGTTATAACTTACAACCATCCACCCAGATCATTTCCATTCTAGATGTGACGTGTGCCTCCAAGTGAATGTATTCCCATCTTGCACTTCCATGGTGGTACCAATATGGAGTCTAGATATGGATGGTTTTGTAGTGAGGGTTTAAATTTTTGCTTGCGCTAATTTACTTTTTTTACTAATTTGATTTAATGTTTCTCTGTTTATTGCATAAATGATATGGAGCGTGATTTTTAGGCAAGCAGTTTTTTACTTCTTGTGTTTGGCAGGTTTAATTTGTGGGGTTTGCTTGAATTTCTTTAAATATAACAATAAGCCAACTATTATTTGGTTTTCTTTTATCTAATTTTCTGAAATTGTGGCAGAGGTATTGTTATGGGAAGATGCTCTAGCTCTTCATCTGATTCCCATGGAGCTGAAGAGAAGTTGTCAGAAGATGCTGTAATTTCCCATTCAAAGTTGAGAATACCTAGCTCAGCTTTAAAGGCAGATGTTGGTAAGACTAGCAATTCAGTAGCGCATCTTCTATTACATATTTGAGTGACCTCTGTAACTCTTTGTTCTTGACTGTTTTCTCAGGTTTGTCAGCATATTTTTCTTCATCAGTTGATTTGTCTGGAAATGAGATTAATGGCAAGAACAGAGAGGAAGTTGTGTTGGAATCACCTCTGTCAAGCCTGGAAACTGTTAACATGGATGCCGTATCTGCAGGTGCAGCCCATTTTGCTCATAGTGTAACTACTCAAGTTAAATCAGCAAAAGGTGGCAAGCCTAGTGACAATTTAAATTCAAGTTCTAGTGGTTATAACTTGAATGTGAACCTTACTCGTGAGGAGCCAATACATGACTCACCTGACTTTGAGCAATTTTTTCAAGAAGGTTATTGTAAAGCGTCAGTTGACTGTCATAAATCAGCAGAAGTTGTTACTGACATGGATTATAGCAGTCCATCTGGCAGGGAGAAATCTGAGGAAGATAGTGATAATGATGACATGCTTGGTGGTGTATTTGACTTCTCCGAGGAAGGTATGAATTCTGTAACAGTTTACATTTTGATTTTATGGAATTTAAGTTTAGCGATTGTTGTCTTTGGAGCGCCGGTCGATGTGGTGTATGTAAGCACTTGAAGATGTGTATTACTGAAACAGAAGCTATTGAAAACAGTTTTCCTTTTTTTAGTCATCACCTTACCTTGTTTTATTCATGTTTTATGTTTACTTAGAATTACAAAAAGTTTCTGTTTTGCAGGTTGATGACTACTTTTTTCATGCTTGCTTCTCTCTTCAAGTTGTTGTAAACTGGTGGTGTAAAGGAATTTTAATTGACAAATACAGGTGATTTCCTTGCAACAAGCTAAATGCTTCTCTCTTCAAGTTGTTGTAAACTGATGGTGTAAAGGAATTTTAATTGACAAATGCAGGTGATCTCCTTGCAACAAGCTAAATGCTACTGACCATTGATTGAAGGAATTGTATTCCTTCCCAGGCGAATGATTCTTCTTACCTTCTAATTTCGACGTAAATGTTGTATATTGAAATTCATAATTACAAATTATTTGTGTGGGTACTGGGCAGGTTCTTTATATGTTCGTAAAATATTATTTTTTTCATACGGTGAAGGTGAAGGTGAAGTGGGAAAAAACAGTCAGAGAGGGAGGCAGGGAAGAGAGAGGAAGGGAAATAGAAATAAAGAAGGAAAGAAACTAGAGAATATAAATTACTTGTTACTCTACTCTATTCTGCATCATTCATGCAGGATTCTTTATTTAGCATAGAATGCTTGGCGGGTTAAAGAGATTCATTCGTCCTCTGGAAAATAAAATAAATAGTTACGAAATCATAACTGTTGATTTACCTTTGTATAGTTGTGTTCTTCACATGACCATATCATGTTTTTTTCCACATGCAAAGATGCATTTCCGATTTCAATAGAGTTAAAGCCCAGCTTTTATTGATGTATACAAATTAGTAATAGTATTCAGAGACATTTTTAAACCCTCAAAATCACATGCAAGCCATTGTTTAACAACTTAATCCCCCATTTAACTTTTTGTAAACAGTCATCTACATTAGAATTTTCACAAATTTGTGAAGACAAAATATGTACAAATATCATTACAATTGCAAGATATACTAAAAGTTATAATTTCTGTTTAAGTAGTACTCGTACTGATGCATACAATATATAATAAAAAATAATATAATATAAGCCACTAAGATTAGCCTAGTGATGAGGGATGTAAATCGTTATATAATAGATTTTGTGTTCAATTCTTCAATATATTCAAAAAAAAAAATTGATAATATAGTGCTTACTTTTTTATATTTATTTTATCTATTTCTCTGTAACACTGTTAAATTACAATATCAACTAACCGTGGGATGAGAGAAATGGTGAAAGTCTGTTAAGATTGATATCTAACTACATTGAAAAATAGATAAAATAGGCAAAAGAAAAAGGAATATAGGTATAATATCATATTTTAATAAAAAAAATATCCTTGACCAACCTTTCTTATCAGTTGAGCCCATAAAGCCCATCCTAACACGGGTGCAAACATCCTCAGAGCAAGTTATTTGTAGAAATCCGAAATTATTTTATCAAGACAACATTTTTATTAGCAAAAAAATTAAAAAAAAAAATATGAGGTAGGATATTCATATTATCACTTTTTTCTACTACCACTGTAATCACCATTGGATTAGAGAAAAAGTTGAATGAAAAAGTTGAATGAAAAGAGAAAAAAAAAAAAAAACAACTTTTGAACCCAATAGAGTGGAGTGGTAGTAGGAAAAAATAATAATATGAATATCCTACCTCTTCAAATATTTAACCTACAAACTGAGTATTAACACCTTTCTACTTTTGCTAATAGGAAATAGTACGACACAACAGACACAAGCTCTATCAAACAATCAATTCTCATTCTACAACTAGTCCTGAGCTCAATTTATGTGCAACTACCTACCAAGACCTTCAATAACTAGAAAAACACGTACGTTTAGAGCATACTCAGCCGGACTTCAATTTGGTTTGTGTAAAGGACCGCCTTGTAGAGAGAGGGGAAATAACCTCCTGAATATTGTGAAAGAAACCTTTATCGTAAACATTATTCTTAACAACTATAACATCTTCTAGAGGTGATCTTCGAAACAAGGCTCTCCACTTGCTTAACAAGGGCTGCTTTTCACTGGTTATTCCACTGATACTTTGTTTTAGGGCTGCAGCACTGACCTTTGCTTCTTTTAGCTTCCTTTGCCAGTCCATGTACTCTTGCCACTTAAAGGTCTGTGACCCACAAAGAAATCTTTAGATTCATCGAGCTTTGGGATGTCACTAGCGACTCTCAAAAGCATACAGTTTTCCAGCTAAATAAGCCACCAAGAAGATTGGATAATGATAAAATACCATAAAATAATGATACTAGTACAATTCCACATTCACAAACCAGCAGAAATTGTGCAGCTGACTCCATCTGAATTCAAGTGACCACAATTTAACTATTTTCTATAAAAATTTAGGTGAAGCAGCCTGTCCAGTTTGTGCAGGCTTGTGAATGCAAGGATTCTGCTATTATTGGGAAACGGAGACACAGAAGAAATAACTCACGGAGAACAAACAGTGAACTTATCAAAACTAATATAGTCACCCACATTCCCTTCAGCAGATACAGAAGGTAGTGGATTCTAATCAATCTGCTCTCACAGAGATATACAAGCGGCCATCACAAATATCATATAAAACCAACCAATGGTCACTCAAAATACTTCTTCATCCAAAACTAAGATGTTTAAGCTTCTAGTGCTACCTAATGATAGAACCAATGGGTTACTCAAAATATTTTTTCATCCAGAACTATTGTTAAGCTCTAGTGCTACCTAATGATAGATTTATTGTATAAGACACAACACATCAGGTTGCAGCAGGATGAAAAATGAAACCTCTAACAAAGCTGTCAGTTTGTCCGTATGCACATATCTTTCTGTAACGTCATATCATACATCACAGGTATTTTACATTTCCCTACGTTCATGCCTAATTCTAAATCGGGTATTCCATTTAGCATTTTCTTCTATCATAATGGATATCGTATCTATATATCATTAACTCAACTAATTAAAGGCACAGCAATCTAATCCCTTGCATTTATGGGGATTATTGTTTTCGCATGAACAAAAGAAAAAAGATTCCTTTCCGCTTCCCGGATCCTCATAATTCACTAAAAATTTACTTACACAATAATTTCAAGGTCACATGGAGAAAGTACCTCATTAGTGGTAGTGTTACTAAGGCAAAGCTTTGAATGATAACCAAAGAAACCAACTAAGAGCATCCCAACAATTGCAAGGAACACCATAAGAAGTATCTGAGTGTTGTAGGATCCCAACAACCACTGTATGATAACAAAACATCATTGATAAGATGGAAAATAGGGAATGAAAATAGGACTACACGACAATCAACAGGTAGACACAGAAAAATAAATAAATCCCTCACCTGTACAACATGAGGAGCTAAATCCAGAAAAGAATTTTCTATTCCATAATAAACTGCAAAGTAAAGATAAGGAGAGAAGTCTAAAAATTAGGGAAAGAAACAACTTTATCTTAAGATAGATATTTCTTGCAAAATCTATATTACCAGTCAAAATATAGGTAACTCTTAATTCTTTTAGTCGTCCAGCAAGAACCAAGCCAATGGCAACTGTTCCATACAAGCATAAGAGGAAATGCCTACAAGACATGAAAGAATCAGACATACAAATGGAACCAGAAATGAAGAAAGCATAACCTTTGCAAATCTATGGTCAAGCTCAAATCAGCCACTAAAATGTGTATTGCTATGATAAAGAGACTGAACGAATTTAGATCTTTTAATATCTATACTAGCATTTGAAATTCTTGGAAACCTTTTTCGAAATCTAGGAATAACCTAAAAGTTTGTTTGGCTCAAAATACATATTCCTAGGAGTATATGTGATAATTCTCAAAATACCCTTATTATATAAACTATTATTTAAATATCATTCCTTAACATGTAAGTGTTAAAAAAAGGGAATAAAAAAAAAAGAAAGATGGTTATACCCATACTGCAAAATAATTATTTATTTATATAAATTATGATATTTATACAAAGCATTGCAACAACGGCCATGACGTAACATAAAGAAAGAACAATAACAAAGGAAGGAGAAAAGGAAAGGAAAGTGTTGTAAATATTGTATATAGAGTAGTATACTATGGGGAATGAAGTCCCAAATTATTGTTATGTAACTGTTGTAGTCAGCTTATATAATAGAACCTCTGCTAAGTTATTGAGACACAAGGATTCATTATATGTCTCTTGGTTTCTCGTTTTTCAACGTGGAATTGACTATAAAGAGACTGACAAAAGGCAAATCTATTCCTAATCCATCCAGTTTCCAGCGTCTCCAGCCAAGCAGTCCCTCCGGCAACCGTCCCAGCTGCCAGCCAGGTCCGTTGACGGAACTTGCAGTTTAAAAAATTTATGGTCATAACACGAATAAGAGGATGTTTCAGTGTGTAGAAGTTTCAATGAAAGTGCAAGAAGAACCCTCCTGACATGTTTCTGAGTGAACTCGCCCAGGGCTAGTAAAATGACTAGTGCAAAGGCAGCCCGCATGGGTGCAGGGGTTGCGGAGCGTAATGGAATGTTAGGACCCATTTGCAAGATATGGGACTTGGAGTCCCACATTGGTTGTATGGGCAACTAATGTGGGGTTTATAAGGTCTTGGGCACTCTCACCCTTTGAGCTAGCTTTTGGGGTGATACATCCCAAGGTTCTTATCAAATTGGAATGTTACTAGCTTTTAGAGTGGTACACCTCAAGGTTCTTATCAAATAGTATCAGAGCACTCACTATGTTTCGCAGATTGGAACTTGGAACTGGAACCCAGGGGTTGGACCCTTGGACTTGGAACCCCGAGCTTGGGCTGCGAAGCGTGGTGGAATGTTAGGACCCATTTGCAAAGTATGGGACTCGGAGTCCCACATTGATTATAAGGGCAACTAGTGTGGGATTTATAAGGTCTTGGACACTCCCACTCTTTGAGCTAGTTTTTTAGGTGGTGTACCTTAAGGTTCTTATCAGAACCTCAGTCCAATAATTTTATCCTGAGGAAAAGAATTTTCCTAAGTTTTTGCTTAGTCTTCTGACGTGCCAGACTTTATGGGGTTCCCTTTTGTAAAAAAGTTAGATTACACAAAATGATGCTCGCGTAATAATACATTTTGTTAGCCATAACAAACTGATGCACAACATATAGAACTCACCATAAAAGAAAGGCCATGAAATACCGGGTGTTTCTCTCCCCAATGCAATTATTCTGCAAATAAAATAACTTTAAGTACAACCCAGAAAAAAACAAGATTTCTTTAATGAGAACCACATAAAAAAAATCTTAGTTTTCTAACCATCCATCCACAGTGATGATCAAATCGTGCAACACAGCGATCACAAATGCTGCAGTGCTTTGACCTAGCAGGTCTGCATAAAAAATTAAGACCATTTAATAAATAGATTTACCTTTAACCCATACTTCAACAAAATTTTACACTAGTAGCAAACTCACCTTGGAATTTTGCAAGTGGAACATTCTTTCTCTTCAAAAATGATATTATCGTAGGGATAAGCAGAAAGATAATCAGAAACATTCTCAGGCTTTATTGTCCCGGGATCAGAAAAGCTGGTCAAAAGAAAGAGCAGAATTCCAACAGCAACTGCCACGAAGCTTGTGTACCTAAACGAAAATATAAGGTCTAACAAAATTCAGGATAGAATAATGCTGAAGAAACCATAAATCAGGAAAAGAGTACAGTATTGGCCTTGCGGTACAATACCTGTGAATTTCACTCAAATAGTATCCAGGTATATGGGCAAACAAAGTCTTGGCAATGAAAAAATATGTTACGCTGATTATGGCAAGATATATGATCTGCAACAAACACAAGTTTGTTAACCTAGACAATAGCTAGAAAGATTTCCCTCACAAATTAAGTGAAGCAATCCGTGCAAAGAAAAACTAGAACAAATTTCTTAGATTCTACTTGTTATCACAAGACAAATGCTGAGAGTTAATCAGTTCATGGATCCAAACAGGAGGAGCAGCACTAAAGTTAATGAAATCAGTAATTGCATAAACTTGGAACAATCGAAATCAAAAGAAGAACGGTGCCGTTGAAATCGAGGAAACCTGTAGAAGAGGATTGGGACGATCGCAGCAGTAATATTCGACAGAGAGAACCGCATCCGTACACTTGGAGCCAAAAACAGCGCCAACGAAACGCCTGCAAGAGAGAGAGAGAGAGAGAGAGAGAGAAAGAGATGCAGTAAGCAATTGAAGGAAAAAAAGATGAAGATGAAAATGAAATGAAATGAAAGATTGAGAAGATAGATAGATAGATAGATACAAGAAGTAATCGTATGCGCCGTAAGTAAGGAAGGAGTGTATGCGTTGAATGAAAGTGCCCTCAAAGATTGGCCATCGACCACACAGGAATGACACAACCACCACCGTGGTCACCAACCCATGGCATACCAACAACCACTCTACCCCCATTACTCACGCCTCCACTCCCCCGATCCAATCATACATCATTTCTATCCTAATTCCTAACTATTAACTACCTCTATTTCACTTATTATTTTATGAATAAACATACAACATTGCTCATGCAACATGACACAAAACGAGCATAATATTTTATGGGACTCGTACTTTTTAAAGTAAAAAAATAAAAAAAAATTAAGACACGTAAAACAAATCTCTATAATATTACACAATTACTTTTTCTACAACATAACTCTTATAAAATCCATAAACATATTTTTAAAAAATATTTGTCATTAGAAAACTGAAATAATCTGAGTTCTGAGATTCAAAGCCAAAAGGGCTGTCCATAGTAGATTTTTATTGAAAATTGCTAAAAAAAAGATAAATCCTTATGGCACTAGTTTAAAAAATAAAAGAATAAAAGCATTTATTATGTTAAATCACGAAAACTATTTAATGATTTCTACTTGGGCTTTCAATGCAATTATTAGCACTGCCTTTATTTGAATGGAAAAATCTTTTTCACTTATAAATGATTGGAGAAAAAAAAAAGTGAGACCCATCTTTATTATGTGTGTAGGAAGATGGATTATCTCATATTAAATGAAATAAATATAACCCTTATTTTATTCTAATTAAATGCCAACCTAGAGAGTTCGCCTAACATACAATGAAAAAACTGCTCCAAGTAACTAGAGGGGTTGGGTGTTAAAAGCATGTATTTTCCGTATTATTTTTGAAAAAATTTAAAGTCTTATTTTTGAAACTCGCTTAAAATTAGACTAGTCATAAAGTGATAAACCGATATAAAAAAAAAAAAAAACCATCTCCAAAACGACCAATAGTGCCTTAATAAAAGTCCAAAATATTGTTGACCAAGGAATTCCCAATGTTCAGATTTATTTTTTCCACGGCGAGGAGTAGATACAACCGTTCTTTGAAAAATAAAGCGAAGCGTTTGATAAATCATCATTTAACTTCTCAATCAAGTTGGATATAAATGATCTAAATTAAGAATAAATTCTTAGTACTACTGTTGTACTATGATTCAGTACATCCAATCAATGGAAACATTACACATCATAAGAGAGAGAGAAAATTTAGCAGAGAAAAGAAAACTTTAGCTAACCAAGATGCCAGCGAATAGGGATAAAGCCTCAGCAACGGGGTCAAAGACTGGGATTTCTTTGGTTGAAATCTTCAAACAATGGTCATGATCTTGATGCTGTATTACCCCATGCATGAATTTAAATATGTTTCAACGATAATGATGAGCTATTTAATAAGAATACCTCAAAAATATAAATTTATTGACAAGTCCATCCTCTTAAATTTAGACTACTTTGAAGGGTTGTATCACTTGTTCTTTTCTCTATTCAAAAGTGATCTTTCACACATAAAGCCTCCGAAAGTGCTAACCAGAAGAATCAAGACACTATTGATTTACCTCTTTCCACTGTAACAAAAGATATTCATTCACATTTTTCTCCCAGAAGAATTGAGCAGGGTAACACAAAATGGAAGTTTCTGGAAATCTGAATCAATATATCCAGGAGCACAATTTAGAGGTGGTGAAGGGAATTATCAAGGGCGTCCAGCTTCAGTTAGAGCTCTGAAACATCGATAGAATTCTCTACAATGTCAATGCAGGCTCCTACAGAGTTTCCCATGGACATGGCCTCAGCAAGCTTAGCTCGAGCTGCTTCATGTCGACGTAAAAGTAAGACTGTGTTCAGCACAGACCATCTAACTTGAGAATCTGCCTTCTTCTGTGTGAAGCCCAGGCCCTTGAGCAATGAATCCAACTATTTACAATTGAAAAATTTACAATTAGTAATGCCAATGCACTTTGAGCTTTCCATTTGTCATGACTAAGAAAGTAAGTTTAAGAACTGCATAAACCTTTCTTATATCATCAAGACCTCCTTCAGCAAAACCATATATAAGATACTCAGCGGACAAACCAGCCAATGCTATACACGAAAATTTGTTCAATGTCTAATAACATGAAACAAAGGTTTTGTCACATAATAAAATTTTGTAATCTTTATGTTATCAATTAAAGCAAACTTATAAGCAGTGAAAATTAGATGTCAGTAAGACGACAACATACTGTAGCTGATAATTTGCCCGAATTAACCTGCAGACATGAAAGGTGCTACCAATCAACAGATATAGTTGTCAACTAAATGCAGTTCACAGGATACTTGATAAGAAAACAGTTTAATGCAAGGTAAAAACATTTATTCCCTCAATTACATAATTGATATGGAGTCACTCAACTGAAATAATCACGTAAATAAAGCAACCTACTTCTTCGAGAAACTCAAAATCCACAAAGGCTGTGCCCGCTTGAACATTGAGAGATCCCTCCATCTTCAGAGCATCCAAACTAGAAAGAGTATATCTTTTGGGAAGTATTCCTACCAGATAAGCAATTAAAAAATGGCCAGCTTCATGCTGCATAATTAAATTGAGATGGTTACTTCACAGTCATTAAGATGATGTAAGTTATTAGAAATAAAATTATTTGAAGGGCTAGCAATAAGAGGATGACTAAATCTGACTTGAATAACCCTATTGTGGTATTTCGGACTGAAGCTGTGACCAATTGTATCAACAACCAAGCTACCAAGACCTCCACCGAAAGACACCTGCAAACAATCAATTTGATGACCATGATCAAGAAAATCTTTCTGCTGTAAGTATTCAAGTAGCACGTCAGTGAAGTGAACAAACATGAATGTGATGGAAGTCTGAGTAACAGCTGATAATGATTCATAGAAAAACTTGATCTCCACTTTTACAAGAATATAATAGTTACAAGGTCCGTTATGACCAAAGGGGGTATATTAGGATGTTGCAAATAAAACCTTTCATTTATATCGGAAACGAATCAAAGCAGAAATAGCATTTCTTTTAAGGTTAACAATTTTCTAACATTGAAACAAGCCAGAATTAGCGAGACAAAGCATGAGAAAAGAGTTGAGCGCAGCCAAATATGCAAGTAGAATGTCTTATTTATCACAAAAGGAAACAAATTCTTATGTTCAGCAGAACATGTGAGGACTTCAATTCATTCATCTGGTCAAATGATGCACTAAGTTTGAGTCCAGGTGCAAGTACAGTACCGAGTCTAGTGTCCATAAAAATAGCAATCCCAATGAAATATAAAAGATTTGTTGTGGGGAAATTCCAAAGGCATTCCATGCAGTAAGCCCTCCAGCAATTGCAGCAATTTGCAGGTTTCTCTCAATCGAACCAAGAGTTGTATCAACCGGTGATAGAAGAGATAAAGTTTCTATTCCATTTAGCTTCAATTCATCCAAGGTGTAAAGCCTTTGAGGCACCTGCACATACATAATTAACACAATGAATGAATGAAGCAAGCCTTGATTTTTCATAATTTGAAACTGCCTGTACATGGGGCGCAGTTACAGAAATGAATAAGTAGCAGAGTTTTGATTTATAAATTAGAATACAAACATCTATGCCATATGATGTAAAGACCGTGACTAGGTTATAAATCATCTGATTGTCTTCAACCCAATTAGTTTGCTAAGACAAGATAATCCCTCGTTTTATATTCTCTAAAATCATAATCAAAGCACCATACAATCGAGGAAGCAACAAGACAAACCTGCCTGGCTGCACCAAAACATCGAAGCCCACCAGGCTTACCCTGTAAATCCTTGACAAGTGCGAGCGCAGCTCTATCATCCCCGTTTGTAAGCTCCTTATCCACTTTCTCCAACACTTGTCGCCGACAGACCCCAACGTTAGAGGAACATCGGATTCTGACCCTAAATTCACAAGATACAAGTTTCAGTTGCCTGGGGTATGATATCACACCCACACCCACACCCACACACTGCATCAAAGGCAAAGCGCCCATTTCATCGAATTTCTTATGATGGATGAAATGAAATTACCTCTGAATCTACTACCGCTTTTGCATTGCATGCGTTCTTCACCACATAAATAACAGATAACCATTTCTGAAATCAAAGAAAAACAATTTGCCTATCCCCCAAACCCGTTAAATTACAAATTCACTAAATATTATTATTTTCATTAAAATAAAAACAGACTAAAGATCATTATAAATTCTTGCCGAAATTTATTTCTTGCTCGGACAATGGACTAAACCTCGTCATTAAACGACGCCGTTAAAAGGGATATAGATGACAATCAGCTAGAAGCGATTTATCCCGCTTTTCTGGTTATTGCTACCCACCTACCCCTTTAGTCCTGAGTCTGAAATTAGTTGTTCACAACTTTAGTTAGAAAATTGAGAAATAATGTGTAGTTTTTCATCCATTTGATACCATTAATTTATTCTCTGACATTCTGATCTAAAACTGTTAAAAAATAATAAACAAAAATAGGCAGAAAAAATAAATAAATAGAATAACTTATCTCTTATTTAAATTACAATGCTTTCATCTGATTTATCAAAACATCCTTCAGTCATTAGTAGTTTTATTCCGGATAACATAAAAAAGACCCATATATTTACTTCCCTGGGAATCATTAAATCCTTATTTCTCATAACGCATTGTTGCACCCGCAAGCTCAATGGGTTGATGCTAAATGCTTTACACATGAATTAGTACTAACAGAGTAACAAACCAAAAAAAATCATGACATTTGCACTTCAAAGTAAGGTGAGTTAAGAAAATCAGGTAATTCGCTATCAGTTCCTCTCACTCAAGTGTTGGAAGCAGTAATGGTTTTTCATGCTTTTTTCCTTCTTCATGGATCCGTAACAAATGCATTACGAACCACGCGCGTGCTTATTTAACAAAGCCACAATTTGGAGGACAATAGAGAACCGAAAACTAAACTCAAATCAATTACCTAGTTATACAAAATTGAAACCATATCTTCGGGATAGATAAGTGAAGCACAACAGAACAACTTAAAGATGAACTCAACATGTACGCATGTTGATATATGTAAAACGAGACACATGACTTCTTTGACAAAGCCAGGAACAAACGACGCATTAAGATGACCACCAGTCTTCAACTCTGATTTTTGACATATTTAACAGCTCAATTAGTTAGGAATGGCCAAAAAGACGGACAGCAAACCTATGAGCAATGTAAAAACAAGTAACAAACATAACAAACACACGTTTCATCAGGCCCAAATTGACAGAAACGAAAAGGCATGACCGCATAAAACCGAAAAAACACAAACGTGAGCAAATATGGAGGACACATCAACTGTCTTTCTTGGCAGCCTAAAATTCAAGCTCAATTATCTGAGAAAACAAAATCATCGGGTGACTATTATTTTCAAACACATGGAACTAAGAATGATTTAACACCAATTTTTGCATTCACCTCATATAAACGACAGAGGTATCCAACCTCAAGTTCAGTGCACTAACAAACATTTTATCCATCCGGGTAAAATAAGATATAGAAAAGATACAAAACATGTATATTACAACTGCAATAAAGGACAACTATCGTCTAAACATATCCTAGAACTCTTGAGAAGCAGAACCAATTTCGCCTTTCCCTTTGCCAGTCTTCTTGGGAAGCAAAGTCTGATGAATATTCGGCAACACACCCCCATTGGCAATAGTTACGGATCCCAAAAGCTTGCTCAGCTCCTCATCGTTCCTCACCGCAAGTTGAATGTGTCTCGGAACAATACGGTTCTTCTTGTTGTCCCTAGCAGCGTTCCCAGCCAATTCCAACACCTAAACACAACACAAAACATCAAAGAATTAATTTTCACATTTTCAAAAAATTACATCCATCAAAATCCCCCAAAACAACCGATCATATTCGTAGCCATAACCCTAAATCCATCCAATCTGCAAAATTGAAAAGAAGAAAAAAGGGAAATTCGAGAAACAAAACAAACCTCAGCAGCGAGATACTCGAGCACCGCAGAGAGGTAAACAGGAGCACCAGCACCGACACGTTCGGCGTATTTTCCAGCCTTGAGAAATCTGGCGATTCTTCCGACGGGGAACTGAAGACCAGCTTTCTGCGACCTCGAAACGGATTTTGAGGCCTTGGGCTTGCCCCTTCCGCCCTTGGTTGAACCACCGGTGGAACTCATTCTCTGATCGACGAAGAAATTGAAAACCCTAAACCTAGAATTTGCAATTCAATTTCAAGGCTCGAAGATAGTGTCTGTAAAAGCACGCACACATTGAAAAACTCGGTGGTATAAGCTTATATAGGAACTGAGCCCCCACGCTGATTGGTCGACATGGAAAGACACGGATCGCCAACGTGGCATCCGCACTAAGATTCGCGGGAAACTCCTTTTTGGTTTTTGAGAATTTTCGAACAGCCCACGCCCAAAAATCTGCTAGGCTGCAATTTTTTTAATCAAGAGCACTTTTATAGTATTTTCATTCAAGTGTTTTTTTCAACACAAACAAACAAATTTAAATACGCACTTTTTTTAATAATTGAAAGGACTAATATTTTCAATTTCCTATGAAAAGGAAAAATTAGTTTCAATTTTATTATCAATTTAAACTTTATTTGTAACCCGTACATCATATGGATAAAAGAAAAAATAAAATAATTTATATTTTCTTCATATTTATATTATTATATGATTACTTTAAAAGATGTTTGTTGAGATTTAAGAAATAATTAATCACATGAGTTTTCTTATTAGAATTTAAAACTAGTTGCTTACCCAAAAAAAAAAAAAAGAATTTAAAACTAATTTGTGACTTAATTAAAATCACAAAAAATACAAATATTTCATAGTCTAATTATAGCTACCAAATATCTTAAGTTGGGATTAAGATTGAGTCACGTCTCCTTGTATAATAGCGTGATCAAGACATGGCAATTAAAAATTGAATGGATAGAGAAATTATGTGGAAACGAGAAAATCAATAAGAGGAATGAAATGATTAAAGGGAAATCTGATCAAGAATCATTGATAGATAATTTGGGAATATAAATAAAATCAGAGAAAGTGAGAAAGATATTGTTACTTATTTTTTATAAGAGTTTGTTTTTTTAAGTTATTTTAGATAAATTTGTCTAATATTTATTGAAACGATATCGTTTTGGGACAGAAATTATGGTGTGTTTGTAATTTTAATTTATTTCAGAATTATAATAATCTTTATCATTTTAATTTTTTAACCCCGAAACAGCATTATTTTGGTGAACATTAGACAAAGTTGTCTAAAGTAACATTAGATATGTTTTTCCTTTTTTCTGATTCATTTGTAAAGAACAGATCCAATTCAAAAATTTAAATTGTTAGATTATACTATATTAATGGTTTTATATTAGAGGAGGGATATTCTAACTACCAAAATTTTTCACTACCAACTTACTACCTATCTAATCACCATTAGATTAACATTTTCTCTCTCTTCAAAAACTTTTTAACATTCTCTCTCTTTAATCCAATGGTGATGTGATGGGTAGTAAGTTAATAGTGAGAGTTTTTGGTAGTTAGAATATCCTCACTCTTTATATTATATCACTTTAATGCACACCCTCATATAATAGCCCATTGGGGTTGAAGGGTGAACAATGCATAGGCCCTTCCTAACTAAGTAACTATGTTAAAAATCTTCATAATATTTAATTATTCATTAATAGAATGAGGGTGGTGAGATTGAACTCGTGACTAGGGCTGTGCATGGGTCAGGTCGGGTCAGGTTTTTGTCCGACTCGACCCAACTTGGTTTTTATAGGTCAGGTATTTTGACCCGACCCGCTTTAATTTGATCCAAGTCAGGTCTGACTTGGATTGGATTTTGTTGAACTAGTTCAGAACCAGTTTGGATATGACCTGACTTGGTTTCTGAAGTGAGTCTGACTTGGTTTCTGAACTGGGTCAAATCTGACCTGACCCGTTTTTGACTTGGTTTTCTCACAAAATTTTGTCGAAATTTTTACGTTGCAAAAGACGAAAATTTTGTCACAAAATAATTTTTTCGTCGAAATTTTTACAAAAAAAAATTTTCTATTGAAATTTAGTTTCCGTCAACAGTTTTGACGAAAATGATTTCTTCCATCAAATGTTTTAAACGAAAAAAGAATTTTGTCAAAAAATTTGACGGAATGTTTTTCGTTCAAAATTTCGATGGAATGTGTTCTGACGAAAATTTTGACAGAAATTATTTCGAGGGAAATGTTTCATTTGAAACTTTCGACGAAATTTAGATTCTCTAAAGAATTTTGACAGAATATTTTTTTCGTCAAAATGTTTTTTTTTGTCAAAAAAATTTACGGAATTTTTTTATAGAAATGTGTTTCGTTGAAAATTTTGATAGAAATTTTTTATCAAAAAGCTTGACGAAAATATTTAGTCTAAAATTTTCGATGGAAATGAGTTTCGCAAAAAATTTCGACGAAAATTTTTTTTGTTAAAAAATTAACGAAAATTTTTTCGTCGAAATTCGAAATCTGTAAAGAATTTTGATGAATTTTTTTGCCGTCGAAATTTTTTGATGACGAAAATGTTTCCGTCGAAAACTTTCGTCAAAATTTGAAATCTGTAAAGAATTTTGATGAAATTTTTTGCCGTCAAAATTTTTTGATGACGCAAATATTTCCGTCGAAAACTTTCGCCGAAATTTGAAATCTGTAAAGAATTTTGATGAAACTTTTTGCCATCGATATTTTTTGCCGTCAAAATTTTTTGATGACGAAAATGTCTTCGTTGAAAACTTTCGCTAAAATTTGAAATCTGTAAAGGATTTTGATGAAATTTTTTGCCGTCAAAAGTTTTTGATGACGAAAATATTTCCGTCGAAAACTTTCGCCAAAATTTGAAATCTATAAAGAATTTTAATGAAATTTTTTGCCATCGAAATTTTTTGATTGAAATGTGTTTCATCGAAATTTTCAATGGAAATTGTTTTGAGGAAAATGTTTCATCTGAAACTTTCGACGAAATTTAGATTCTCTAATGAATTTAGACAAAATATTTTTTGTGTCAAAATTTCTTATCGAAATATTTTTGTCAAAAAAATTTACGAATTTTTTTTACAGAAATGTGTTCCGTTGAAAATTTTGATGGATATATTCTTTATCAAAAAACTTGACGAAAATATTTAGTCGAAAATTTTTTATAGAAATGTGTTTCGCTAAAAATTTTGACGAAATTTTTTTTTGTCAAAAAGTTTAACGAAAATGTTTCCATCGAAAACTTTCGCCGAAATTTGAAATTTGTAAAGAATTTTGATGAAATTTTTTAACGTCAAAGAATTTCGATGAAAATGTGTTTCGTCGAAAGTTTTTATGAATATATTTTTTTGTGAAATATTTTGACGAAATTTAGATTCCGTAAAAAAATTTGACAAAAAAAATATTCCGTCAAATTTTTTTACTGATATGTTTTTAGTCACAAATTTTGATGAAAATATTTTTCGTCAAAAATTCTTGCGAAAATTTTTATGAAAATATTTTCCATAAAAAATTTTGACGTTACGTTAAGACTTTTCTTTTAATGTAATTGTGATTTTTTTTCACATAATGGGTATGGGTCAAGTTTTGGGTCAGTGGGTCAATATTAAAACTAGTCAGGTCTAAAACTGACCCAAATAAAAATGGGTCAGTATTTAAACCAGTTCAAAAAATATGGGTATTTATGGGTCGGGTCAAGGTCGGATCAAGGGTAGGGCAAGTGAACCAGTTTTTTTGCACACCCCTACTCGTGACCACTTAGTCGCATAGACTTCGATACATTATAAAGAACAAATTCAATCAAAAAACTTAAAATATTAGATAAGGTTACATTAATATTTTTATTTATGGGTAAAGTGTGTGTTATTTTAAAGGATGTAAAGTTGTATCATTTAAAGAGAGAAATAGATAGATAAAGAAGGAGAGAGAGTTGACAAAAAAATAAATGTGTGGGTCCCACCTCTTTGTGAGAGTGAAAGAATTAAGTTGTGTCATTTAAAAGAATAAACATTTCCCCTTATATTATATCTCTCAACCACCCTTTTTACTTCTATTGTCATTTTCACTTAAAAATTTGTAACATAATTGGATACGTGGAAGGAAATAGAGAACAACACAAGAACACTATTTCACATATGAATATTGAGTTTATCATCTATCATTTAACATGACCACAAAAAGTTTTCTACACACAAAATATTTTGTGGGGCCCGCAGCAAAAAAAAAAAAAAAAAAAACTTCGACACGCAAAACGAATCTCTATAACATAACACAATTACTTTTTCTACAACATAACTCTTATAAAATTCATGAATATTATGTTATCCACATTTTTTTTTTGGATACATGTGTTATATACATTTACTTCCACAATAAAACTAGCAAGGCCATACTTTTTTTTTGGTAGATAAAGAGAGCCAAATCTCATACAAACAAAACTAAGTTAATACATGATAATTAATCAATCAGAACCAGCATAAAAGAAATTATCAACTAATAAGAGTTGTTGAAGATCCAAAATTATCAACTAATAAGGGGCGTTTGGTATAGGAGAAATTTTTATTTGTCCGAAAATTTCGATTTCAAAAAATATGATTTTTACATTCAGTTTACGATAATATCTGAAAAATTAAAATTTTAAAAATTTCAATTTCTCATAAATTCGTGTACCAAACGGCTAAGAGTTGTTGAAGATCCAAGATCCGTGGGAGCTATATCGTTGTTTTTATTTTCTCTACTTCAAATTGCATCTTTATCAAGCCTATCAACAAATTGATTTTCTTGACTTTGTACATTGGTAATCTACATTTTCAATTCCTTGGCTAGCCAAGCCTGTATCTTGCTCCTTGTGTGATTAAGCTGGGATAGTCAATTGTATCGCATGCCATCTATTTGTTTCATGTGTCACGTTTAGCATGTGCTTTACAGGTGAAGCATAGCATGTTTGCTTGTCATTTCACTAGCGTGAATCATTTAAACCCATATTCACTTGTAAAGTTTTATTGTCCTTTTACATCTTAGTCTTCCACCCTTTTGTCTAGCTCCTTTTTTGACCACCTTTATTTGCATCTTGGCCAAGACTTGCCAAATATGGTTTGGATAAATAATGTGAAGATCACTAGATGTATTTATAAGAACAAAATTTTGTTATCAAGAGCTTTGACACAAAGAGGAGGAGATATGTAATAAAAAAAAATTTAATGGAGAGTGATATGGATTGATGGACGATATGTCTTAGGACGG